CATGTGGTCAGAGGCCAGTAACCCTCTGGAGATCCATGTCTCAGGTGAGGAAGTGTCCTCTTTCACTAATCTGTTTGGCATATGAAACCCTTTGTCATTATACCCTTTGGCCTCAAGGAGGGTTAGAGGCCATAATGGCTGAAGGGAGTTCTTGACTGCTAAGGTTGAAGGATGAGAGGCCATGGCACTTTTAGAGCAAATAGGATTTGATCAGAGATAGTTGGGTGACTTCCTTGACGTTACTTAAATCTGAGGTATAAAATTTGTGTTGTAGAGATACCCATGTGTAGTGGATAGGCACAATACCACTTGTCACTGTTTTGACAAGTTTTGATTACTCAGTGGCACTCACAAGAATGGGTCATAAACATGTTATTGATATGCTACAATTACGCAAAGTGTGTGGTCAGAGACCATTAAACTACTGGAGAGATGTGGGTTTCTGTGATTTCCCCAACATCTTCCTCAGGAAGCTTCTATTATGAGGTATGGGAGCCACACTTTCTGTGGGTATAAGCATAAACATTTAGAATGCAGGTGGAAATTATATTGGCTTAGGAACAGGGAAGTATTGGTTTCTCCTGTAGAGTCCATAGCCTCTCCAGACACGTGTACAAGTTACAAATTTTTACATGCTTATTATTGTCATATACTTTGGTGATTTAGGTTAGCTTATTAGTAGAACACATCTGTATTTATGTATACTGTATGCATATCTTTATGTCTTTGTGGTTGCATTGTTTGCTATAAGCAATGTGATGATTAGATAGTGACAAGTTTAACAGGAGCATCATGGGAACTTTGTAGGGTGAGTGCAGGTAGAGAACCCCAGACTGTCATTGTTTTGTTCACCATATACTCATCAGCCCCAAGAACAAGACTTTTTGGCTGGATCTTGGGCTCTCCTCAAATTATTCAGTGAAGGTTAATCTCCTGGAGGAATGAATGTCCAGGCTTCCATACTCCAGACTGACGTGGGAGCAAAGGATTGCTCCTTTATGGTAGAATAGGAGACCATATTTTTCCATCTGAGCTCTCAGATAAACTCTTTTTCAGAGAAGTGCCCTCCGAAGAACTTCTGAACTCATAGCATAGTCAGGTTGTAGAAATCAAGCCAAAGGCCACCAACATGTTTATTCCAGATATTCATCATGTTGACTGATGAGTATAATGTGTATATCTAGGAAATAAGATGATGAAACTGGAGAAATTAATCAGTTATCTTGAATACTTTACACACCCAACATGTCTTTTCCCAGGAGCACCTGAGACCACCAGCCAATCACAAAACATGTCACAATCTATGGCAGAGGGGATGGTAATGATATTTGTGGTGTTATCACGGAAAGTCAAATTCTATAAAGAGGAGAGAGCTGTTCACAATGTAAATGCTGTGGTGTCTGGTAGCTTTGCTTGGTCCTGACCTTTCTGTCCGCAATCTGCAGACTCAGAGCCCCAGGATCACACAGTGGAGAACCTCATTCGAATGGGCCTATCTGGCTTGATCCTCACAGTTCTCGCAATTTTGCTCTTTTATGACTGCCGCAGTGAGAGAACGAGTTTGAATGCATCCCATAAGTGAAGAAGTGAGACAGCCATAGTCCTTGCCTGGTGACCAAGTCTAGGAAATACATTTGAGTATCTCAGGTGTTTTTTTTTTTAACAGGAAATTTCAATGTTCAATATTGGTAATCATTGTGAGGAAATAAATATCCAGCAAGTAAATTTGTTTTGGGAACAGGAAGATACCTAAGTGTGAGTGTTGCAAAAACACAACCATCACATTAAGGCTCTTACAACCTATCTTGGTGTGGACTTTGAAGATTTCTCTATCTTCTCATTTCATTCCAGGATGTGGGGGGAACATGCTGTCTTAGAGTGAGTTTTGGGTCCTCACTTCTCTCTATCTTCTGCTTCTCAAAACTTTCATGTAATATTTTCATTTTTTGTAAACCATTACATTCTCCACTGTGAATCGCAAGTCACCATTTTGTTTTGTGAGAATTTAGTTGTTACTATGTACAAGGAATTTGAATCAATAAAACAACAACAGATGAAAATGAGCACAAAACCAATTACAGAATGAAAACAATGACCAAATATATAAAACATCACCATAAAACACATCTCTAATCACTGCACTCTGTAACCGTTCAGTATTCATCACATGCTCTTTGTGTGCTTTCTGCTAATTTATTTTTTATTTTAAAGCAAAGTCTTTCATTGATTTCTGGAAGTTTCAACTTATGCACCCCAAGTACACTCACCTCCCAGTTCCTCCATATCCAACCCTGACACCTGTAGTAGGCTTCCCCCAAATTAATTAAAAACAAAGAAAAACAAACAAAATACCCCACCATGCTCATCCATCTTTCCAATACCCCTTCATTCATCCTACTGTCATCAGGATCTGTTGTGGATAACTATTGTCCAATCAGCCTCAGATCTTTGGTTTCTTTAATGAGGTAATTCAATGCTTAATTTAGTGAATCTCTTGTTAGAAAATATTGGTCAAGCAAATATGTTTTGTGTTCAGGGAAAGATCTAAATTTTGGTATGAAAAGCTTTTCAACCACCACATTAAGACTCTTATTCTCTACACTGCTGTGAACATTGAAGATTTTACATTCCTATAGTTCAAGTGTATGATATGGGGGCTCAACTATTCCCACCAGTGAGATTTGTGTCCTCACCTTGTATGTTTTCTGCTTTTCCTTAGTCTTATGTGGTATTTTCCTTTGTTATACATTGCCACTAACCAAATTGTGTATTAGGAGCCTCTCTGCACTAGAGATGTTTAAGTCCCCACCTAAATAAAAAATTTCATACATATGTGAGTATCGCCCTTCTCTTTTACTACTGTATCTCCGTGGCACCC